GTGATTTTCTGTCATTATTATAATAATGCAATATAATATAATAATGTAATGTAATAATAATAACAATAACTATGATAATCATAATTAGAATAGAATAATAACAGCAAAAATAAGAATAATAACCACAATAATAATGATAAATAAAATATAATGTAATATAATGAAATGTAATATAATAATAATAGCATTAACAATAACCATATGATCATAATTAGAATAGAATAGAATAATAACAATAAAAAATAATAACCATGATAATAATAAATATGATGTAATATACTGTAAATAATCATGATAATAAAGATAAGAATAGAATAGAATAATAACAGTAAAAAATAATAACCATGATATATAATAATGATAAATATAATATAATACAATGTAAATAATCACAATAATAATGATGGTAATAGTAGAATAGAATAATAACAAAAATATCAATAATAATAACCATGATAATCATGATAATAATAACAACAATTATAATCATTACAATAATAGAATAGAATAGGTTAGAATAGAATAATAATGATAACAATGGAATAGAATAATAATGATAACCATGACCACAATGAGAATAGTAATAACAACAACAATAATACAAAAAAAATGAAAATAATAATGAAAAGTTATAATAAAACTGATAATAGTAAAAATAATAATAATGAAAATATAATAATAATGATGATAATGATGATGATGATGATGATGATGATAATAATAATAATAATAATCCCTGATCTTCCCCTCCCCCTGGCAGTATCTCAGCGTGAAAGAAGACTGCAAAGCCATGGCTTTCTGTGCAAAAATGAGGAGCAGCAAGAAGAACGAGCCGAGCCTGGAAGCTCAGCCCCAGGGCCTGGAGATCCTGTTCTACCTGCAGGACAAAGCCCCCATCTGCTACTCCAGYGGCGAGTTCACCTCCGAGGAGCTGTGCATCGAGGCTGCCCAGAGGTGTTGTGAGTATTTGGGSTTTATTTTTACATTTCTGTCCCAAAAAAATCCCCACCGAGCTGCTCCGACCCTCACCTGCCAGGACCTGGCTGTGCTCATCCCAATTGTTGGTTCAGCAGCCACCAGGAAAAATGGCTGATCTTTACTTTTCAGGAGAATTTTTTTCTTTTTTAAATTTTTTTGATCAAATCTTTGTAATTCCACCAAAAAAAAAGTGGATTTGTCTCTGCTGGAGCTCATAATTCAGTGTGGTTTTGTATTTCCAGTCTTTTCCTGTTCAGCAGCCACCAGGAAAAATGGCTGATCTTTACTTTGCAGGAGAATTTTTTGGTTTTTAAATTTTTTTTGATCAAATTTTTGTAATTCCACAAATCAAATTTTTGTAGTTCCACCAAAAAAAAAAAATGGATCTGTCTCTGCTGGAGCTCATAATTCAGTGTGGTTTTGTATTTCCAGTCCTTTCCTGTTCCTGTGGAACACTCCTCGTGGTGGCTGTGGGGAGAGAGGACGGGGCAGGAATCCTCCTGCAGCCCTTAAATGTCCACTAAAAACCCTAAAATGACCTAAAATGTCCCTTAAAATGTCCCTTAAAATGACCTGAAATGCCTTAAAATGACCTGAAATGTCCCCTAAAATGACCTGGTGTACCCTAAAACGTCCTAAATTTAAACGTGTATAAATGTGTTTGTTTAAATGCGTTTAAATGTGTTTAAATGTTTAAATTAAATTAATTTAAATTTGTGTTTAAATTTTTAATCTGATCAACCTGTTGGAATCTATGGAGAAAATGCCAAATTAAAGGAGAGCAGCCCATTCCCAGCAGGATCTGTTCTTTGGGGAGAAGAAGATCCCAAAGCTCTCTGCTCCTTTGCTAAAACCTCTTTCAACTCTTGGGGTTTATTCATTAATCAATTCCATTGATTAATAAAGCTGAGCACAGAGATTTTTGGTAAAAAAMTGGACAAAATTGAGATTTTTAATCCTTTCCTTGTGCAAAATCAGGATTTGAAAATCCTTTGAACACCAGAAATTGGACGCACCCCAAACCCACCGAGATCCCAACCTCTCCACCTTCCCTTCCTAAAATTTCCTTTATTTCATCCCAGCATTGCTTTCATTCCCTGATCCAATTTTTGCTGTCAAACTTTGAATTTTGGGTGGTTTTTTTTTGTCACAGCTGTGTCCCCTCTGTGCCACAATCTTTTTGCTCTGTATGATGAAAGCAAGAAACTCTGGTACGCCCC